CCCTCCCAGTAACGTGCACAACCAGCCACCCCCTGCCTCAGGCAGCAAAAAGTGTAGGGACACCCCTGGATTTGTCATTTTTGACTGGTGTAGCAGCGGGTGCAGACCACTGGGCAGTGGGTCATTGTGTCAGTGGGTCAACATCGTAAAGGACATGGAACTACATGACTGGACACTGCCAATGACATTGAACGACACTTATTTACCATTTCTTTTTTATTACAGTTACATAATTTGTAAGGTTGAAGAAATACACAAGTCTATTTAGTTTAATGTGTGTGTGTGTGTGTGTGTGTGTGTGTGTGTGTGTGTTGTTATACGTCCATAGCCCCTGTAAACTTTGTGAACTGAGAAAGACATCTAAATTTTTTTTTAAATTATCTATGTTCACAGCTGATTCCATTAACTGTGGAAGGAAGTTCCAAATATTTACTGTTCTGACAGTAAAAAACATACGTACAGTTTAAGAATAAACAGCTTCTCGTCCAACTTCTTGTTGTAGCCACGCGTCCTCTTCAGAGTCCTTAGATTAACAGTTTATTCCCAATACTGCAGTCCCCATTGATAGATTTGTCATTTTATTTGTGAGTAACAAGGGGTACTACGGAACCTGTACTCCATGTAGCCGGGGGCTGGATATCCGGGTGGACCCCTTCTTCTAAGGGAGGGTCTCAAGATTCCAATAAGTCCCCCATTCCCTGCAGACTTTGACATCTCTTTAAATGACACATCAATCAGGCAATGCAGCAACGCTCGGCGATCTTGACCTTCCAACACTACCACGTCTGACGATCTTTACCTGCTGCCACGCCCATTGCGAATGTATCCACGGTGCTGCCACAATGTAAACCCAGTGGTGGGGATCCTAGGTGACATCACTGACCCAAATAAGGTCATGACTATATTTGCTCAATAACATCACCCACAATCCCTGGCCCCTTTACAACAAACAAAAGCTGGCAGGAAGAAGTACATCATAGTACATCCGCAACTTCACGTGCAGCTTTAATGCATGTTATTTAAAGGATTTGTGTCTTTTCAATGTTAACCTTTAGGGCTCGGCACAATATTGTTTTTTCACATTTTTTTAGATATTTATTTATATCCTTAGTGCTTGGTAGCTCTTATTTCACTTTTCACCTTATTGTTTTTTTTAGCCTTTAGGGCTTGTTCACACCATCTCCAGACCAGACCCGGATGCGTTTCTGCAAACGTGGGTATGTGCGATTTTGAGGCATTCCAGTACGCAGTTTTATTTTTTTTTTGAGTTTGTTAATTGGTTTTTCTGCTCATTTCAGTGCATTCTGGTGCGTTTGCCTGCATTTTTTATGTGTCCAGAGAAAAAAATGCAGCATGCTGGGCTTTTTAAAAAGCTTTGGAACTGAACACAATGGTGTGAACTTGTCTTATTTTTACCACTGGAATGAATGTGTGCGCTTTTTTGGTCCGGATAAAAAACTTTCTGGTCCGGATCTGATCTGGAGATGGTGTGAATAAGCCCTTAAATTACAATAAATGAGGCTCTCCCCACAAAAATGTACATTTTTACATATTTTATTGCATTGGTACATGTCCCCCATGGCAGTGCCCAGCTACCCATGCCCTTCTTTTAACAAAAACTTTCCTATTGGCCTTACAAAAAAAAAGAATTTGGGCACATAGACTTTAATGGGGTTCAATGCCATGTTTAGATTTGGTGGATTTTTTCCCTGTGTTTAGCCAACTTCCCACGAACCAAACTTTGCCCAGTTTGTTCATCCCTAATCCTGAACCGTTTGCAAAATCAATTGAGACACTTTAGGCACACTTGTCAATTTTTCTAATTCGCATAAATATGATGCTACTTCTGCAATGTTCTAAAGAACATTGAATCAGTCACACCAACCCCTGCCCCTTACGTACTTTAAAGTAAAACTATACTGAGGCTATGGGCATTGAAATATTTGCATTTTCTTAACAAGCAGTAAATGAGCTTTACAGCAAGTGCTCATTTACCATTGTAGCTGCAGGCACGTTTGATTCACCAGAACTACTGAAGCTGTTCAAACATTCAAATGCCTGTTCCAGGAACTCGGTTCATCTTCCTGCTCCCACCCCCCTCCTTTCCCCAGAGAGCTAGCTCTGCATTAGAGATTAGATGACTGGAAGGCTGCTGCAAAGTCATTGCTGGGAGGAGGAAATATGGTGAGCTGAGCTTCCGTTGTGAACTTTAAGGATGAATTGCTCTACAGTACCTGCAGCTACAGAGGTCAATGAGGTCTTGTTTTAAAGCTAATGTATACGTAAACATTCGACTGCCGATAACCTGGCCATTTGTTAACTGTACTGGGGAAATACGTAATACCCAACCTTACAATAGCAAATGAGCCATGTCGAGAAGACTAATAAACGCAACCTTTTACAATACATACCATCATAACAAGATTACCTTCTTTAAAATAAAGTAACAGAGAAGTATCCAACTTCTGTGCACACTCACGAGACCTGGAATTTGTTTTGTTTTATTATAAGCACCTCTAACGTGAACCAGTAAAAACACCTTGCGGGGTCTCTTAAAACAAATATTTATTCTTCTTTATTTTTAATTACCTTTTTAAGTAAAATGGATCAATACTTAAAAATGTGATAGAGCTTTGAAGCACCAGTACTTATGAATGGCTTTATTGTCTTTGAAAAATTAGTCTCTGCCATTTTTCTATGGATGTTTGTGATATTCACAAATGATGACCATCAATACCGCAGAGCAGATACAAAGAGCTGTTTGAGTATGTCCTTATCCAGATGTCTCCCTGGAATTGAAAAAATAAGAAACATTTTTAATAAAAGTTCAGGTTATGTTAACCCCTTCGTGACGGGAGACGTACACTGTACGTCCAGCCACAAAGGGACCAAATGACTTGTCACGTACACTGTACGTGACGAGTTATTTGCTGCACTAGAAGGCTGCTAACCGCTGAGAATCAGCGGTTACCTTTCAGTAATAGATGTCTAACTATCTAGAGATCCATTACTGAAAGGGTTAACCTTTTTCAGACACCCGATACCTTAATATCGGGTGTCTGAGAGTCACAGCAAAGCAGACACACATGTCGGCTTTTGCCGGCATTCTGACAGCTCGTATAGATCGAGAGATATCTCTCTCAAGCTATACTGGCTTTTTTTTTTTTTATCTTTTGACTTTCAAGAATAGATACAAAATGTTATGTATTAGACACATAATGTATCTATTCTTGAAAGTAGAATGTTTAAGTTTTCTGAAACATTCACTGACAGCTGAATCCTGAACTGCTGCAGGATCAGTGTCACTAACTTATTATCGGCTGTTCTGAAGTTTGAAGCAGCCTGATAATAAAAAAAAATGTATTAATTTATCAAGCAGTAATAGTGAGATTAATTCACAATGACTGCCTGATATAATTAAATAAATAAAATTTGTCAGTATAAAAAAAGTGAAAAGTGTAAATAAATGTAAAAAAATAGTGAAAAGTGTAAAAAAATTAAAAATAAGGGACAAATAAATGAATGTATGTATTGCATTTTTTTTTAGCTGTGCTGGTTTTGTTAAAAAAAAATACTACAAATCAAAACTGGGAAAAAAAGTTTTTTTTTACGTTTTTTCCTCTTTTTTTAATTTGTATTTGTCCTAAGTGAGGCGTTAGACACACATATGTGATATAAATATATAGCCCTATCTGTCCTCTAAAAAACAATATATAATATGTGTGGGTGCACTTTGTAAGAAAGTATATTACTGACGTGGAAGAATCACACAGCAAAAATGTCAAAAGTGTGTCAGTCATTTACGAACAGAAACCAAAAACAAGCTCAGTCATGAAGGGGTTAATTCAGTAAGGAAATGTATTCATGTATTCATTCCAGCTAACGTTTTAGAAATATTGTCCAATTCCTGTTGTGCACACTCAACTAAACAAAGTAAACTTTATCTTATCAGGACTACACTATGCCTCTTCTTGTTTGCTTCATGGCTTTGCTCGAAACCTATTTTGTTGCAGGCTAGCTGGCACATGTACTGGGGACTTTTTTTGTGTGTTTTGTAATGTTGTAAGCCTTCCCATGTCCACCTTGCTACCCAGGCTGGTTATAAATTCATGCGGTTACCATCTATTTCTAGTTTGACTATTTTTGATGTGGGGACGCACTGGGGGCCCCGGCGTGCATTTTGGAGTACTGGGCCTCCAGTGCGTTCCTGCAACTTTGAGGAGTGGGCTCCTCCAGGTACACCTGCATTTAATTTATCAACTGCTTAAATATGCTCCAACATGGATACTCAGAAAAAGAGACCACACTTCACAGAGGAGCCATGATGGGGCAATGTGACTTCTACATATTTTTGGTGAAAGGTTTGTGTAACTAAAACCTCTGTTTTTAACGCATGCTGTCAGGCATGGTAATCTGTTTTGTCGCAGGCTAGCTGGCAAATGTGCTGGGGACTTTTTTTTTGTGGTGTGTTTTGCTCGAAAGAAGGGTACATCTAACCACAATTCCTCCATTCATACTAGCAACATACATGTGCACCAAGGTGTCATTCTCTTGTCTCTAACCCGTACTAGGAAAGTTGCTGGAATCCCACTGGCTGTCAGAGGTGCTCCATATGTCTGTGTGAACGCCCAAGCTAGTATCACATATCAATGTTACAAAACACTGATAAAACACATACACTATATTGCCAAAAGCATTGGGACCCCTGTCTTTACTCGCACATGAACTTTAATAGCATCCCAGTCTTAAATCGTATGGTTCGATATTGAGTTGGCCCACCCTTTGCAGCTATAACAGCTACAACTCTTCTGGGAAGGCGTCCACAAGGTTTAGGAGTGTGTCTATGGGAAAGTTTGACCATTCTTCCAGAAGCGCATTTGTGAGGTCAGGTACTGATGTTAGACAAGAAGGCCGGGCTCGCAGTCTATATATACACATACACACATACATACACACACACTGTAAAAATAATATACACACCCACAGTGATAAACACACATATATGAACTGTTTCTTGCATTGCTACATACAAGCCATGTTTCCTATATCTTTCAAGTTAAAGGAGAACTATGAGATGAGTGATTTCCACTCACCTCATAGTTCTAGCCAACCTGTGACAATGAGACTGTCACAGGTCGGCTCAGTAGATCGGGAGGTAAGCGAACACATACCAGGTTCGCTCACCTCTCGATCCTGTCACGGCTCTCTGCCGTGACAGGGGGAGGGCTGGATTCCCCTCTCCCCGCTCCGATCTGCCAGCGCTGACTGGCAGAACGGACGGGGGAGGGGGCGGGTACAGCTGGCCCTGCCTCTAGATAGGCAGAGCCAGCTGTCACTCACGCAGCTGGGCGGATCCCGTCATCTACGTCGGGATCCGCTCCGGCTGCGGCGTCTCAGTATACCGCGAGCTGTAGCTCGCGGTATACTGAGCTTAGGGTAACGGGAGGATGCTACTTTGTGTCCTCCCGTTACCCTAAGGAGAACTATGGGGAAAAACACTGACCCCATAGTTCTCCTTTAAGTGCTGATGAGCCAGCTGAAGCAGCTGTATCAAGTCAAATGTTAGGCTCTGTATTTATGTTGAGTTGCTGTGATGTTGGTATAATATGCCGTGGCAAACTGATTATTGCATTTTACAGTAAACCACATGCACCCTACCCTTCTTGGCCACACTATAAGTTTCAACTGTTCTACAATATGGACCTATTTTAAAAATATTATCCAACACGTTTTTTTTACATTTAGAAGACAAAGACAAAAAGTTACCTATGAACACCATGCGATTCAGTCGTTCCCCCTGCCAATTTACTTGTGTCTCTTCTAGCTCATAGAGCTCATGAACTCCCTGTATGATTACGTGGTTTGATTTCTCATTCATTGACAGCAGGCCCTGCTTAGACAAAGAAGACATGGTGACTAACGTAGAACAAAAATCACAAAAAGGATCCCAAAGGGAAAAAGAGTATGTATAAAACGTACATTTATAGTTCTTTAGATATATAAAGCATAAAGGCTTATTTTAAACATTTCTTTCCTTTATCAGGAGCCTTAAGAATACATTCCAAAAAATGAATGCAACAGATACAACATTTCAAATGAGTTATTTTGATTCTCCACCAGGGAAAGCAGTAGTGTACCAGTCCACCTCATTTCAAACTCACTTTATTGGCAGTAATATGGTATTTTATGAACACTATCTTGTGATACATTTGAATATTTGCCAGATATTCCTGATCCTGTCCTTTAGCTCCTTTGTTCAAGGAGTGATGGAAGATATGTCACCCCACAGCACCCTCCACTATACACTGTCTTGCCAATCAGCCTCTACATCTCTCTTCTTGCCTGCTCCCGCATTCTCTCAGGCTCCCATCCTTCACTGATCCCAACCTGCTCTCAAAGCTGGCTTACACCGTATGCCAGCTCTCAGTTTGGAGACCAGGCAATGCATCCTGCCCCTGACTAACAGCTGCTACAATACTGCCTAGAAGGTATACTTAGAAGCAGTGGCCCCATAATTGTAGAAGGCCAGCAGGTACATACTGTGAGCAATCTTACTTTACTAGATCTGAAACGTTTTGCAACATATTAGCAAATAACCTGATTGACTTTACTCACTGAATGGAAATACTCTTTATAATACCCACCAAAAAGAAATACCAACTTTACAAATTCAGCACTAACTGGTATCACAAGAAGATAAAATAAAAACAAATGTCACTGTATATTAATTGTATATTGCATTATAAAGAATCAAAAACAACCCTACCATGTACTTGTACTTTCAAAACTATTTTTGAGCCAAGACACTGTTTTGCTTAATACAGAGATGTAACACTACCAAAACCCACCTTTAACCTTATAACATCCATGGGAATTCCATTAGAGTTTTTTACATTCTTTTCCCAGAGCAAATTCTGTAAGATGAAACAGATTATGAACATATTACCTGATTTTAAAAACAAACAAAATCATTATCAATTGGGAGATGTTTTCTTCTTACCTGGATAAATAAATTGAGATTCTCTTCGACTACATTACCAACAACCTCAAATGTAACGGTGACAATGCTCTGTGAAGAGGATCAGTAAGTCATAAGTACAAATTACTACAATTCATAGTGCAACAATATTCCTTTTTTTTTTTTAAATGTAAGAAAATTAACTATGACCTTAGTTTTGTGGTTTTGGTACTTCAAGATCATTACAACAACTTATTTTATCAATCACAGCACAAAGCACATTGAAACTAGTAATATGCAGGAGTGCATCTTCGCTATATTGGAATGTCAGGATCCGGCAATGAGGCTGAGTAATGTCACAGCGCCTAGGTGAGGGAGCTGGAAGCTGTGGTCTAAGGTGAGTATCTGTTACTTTGTTTCTTACATTTTTTGTTTTTTGTTTAAGTTAAGGTTTCTACATGGGGGTGGCGGCTAGAAATTAAAGAGACCTTGCATTTTCATGTAAGGTCTGCCTTAAAATTCTTCCTACCAATTTACATAGTTACATAGTTAGTCAGGTTGAAAAAAAGACACAAGTGCATCAAGTTCAACCTATTTTGGAATACTATAATACCTTCAACTTGAAAACACAACGCAAGATAAAAATAAAATGCCCGTTTTCCAACCAAAGTGGCTTCTTCCCAGAACCCCCATGAAGGAGCAGCTGTTTCTCAGGTTCTTCTAGTGTGAATGTTAACATAATGTAAGGAAGTAGACCTGTTGTTTTTAGTACAATGTGATGTTCACTTACGGAACTGCAAAAGATCAATGGTAGTTTGGGAATAGAGAACTGAACTGCTGTGACGATAGTTCACACCCTCTTGCTGTCTCCTCGTTAGACCATATTATAGTAAGCTTTCTTCCCTTGAGAGAAAATATTGCCCTCATTACAGCTCATCTGAGGCAATAATGTTCTTTAATCTGTTTGGTGCTAAGGTAAACACTAACGTGTACTCACAAACCCATTCCCAAGTGACAAACGCAAGCCTATCTAAATAGGTTTCTGTTAAATAAACAAATACCACTTCCTTAAGAAAACACAAATGCTAATGTTTCAGTGCACCCTTTTGGTTTGTGGTTTTTCTTCAAAATAATCAGAAACTGTATATTTGAACTTATCACTTATATATATATATATAATTACTTTTTTTAAATCCCTAATATACAATGGATGAGTTACAATGTAATCTGCTAATACTATACAGGTCAAAATTTAGAAGGAGAAAAACCTTATTACACACATAATATCATTGTACATGGATGGCAAATCAGCTATAAACATAATTTTGGTTGTACTTAGAATTCCAGTTTGTTGTAGTTTCCGCTCACTAAGTTTTGTTACACTGTTAAGAACTGTACAAATATGAATATCCTTGCAGTATCAATAGAAAAACTGCCGCACACTAAGTATTCCAGCACTCAATTAAACTGTATTTTAGAACATGAAGTCCACATGAGCCAAAGCAACCACCAACAGGTGGAGCATATAACTACCTGAACGGGGAGAACATACCAACAACAAAAACTGGGCACCAAGGCAAACCCTGGGAGGTATCCCAGCCTCAAAAAAGATCCCCAAGGGTAACTGAGCCGGTCTAGAAATGATAAAATGCCCAAATCCTAAACTGATGACCCTGGCTCCAAAAGAAGTAGCGATGATTAAGACAGCCATCCAATCTTGTATGACATATTTCAAATAGAGAACTATGTAGAATATTACTCTATACGGAAATTTAAGAACCTTAAGAGCTGGAGACAAATGCAAAGAAACCATTTTAGGGTAGATGGGAAAATTGGATTCAAGAAGTACCCTCTACCAAAATAAACAGGTGTGGGGAGGTGCAATGACACCAGAAAACAGTGAGACAAGGAGATATGCCTACACGAACACCCAGAAGATTCACTAGAACCTAACAGGGTAAAAAACCCACTGCAGGAACATGCCTACCTGAGTCAAGGCATGGCACTATTAGTCCTCTGACTCGCCCCAAACCAGCGAAGCATCCACAGCGATTGAGAGAGGGGGAGGAAGCTTAACCACAGAGCTAAAACCGATGCTTGATTAAAGACAGGAGCAGGTAAGATACTTTGAAGAACTTCCTCTAGAGGCTGTGCATCATCCATAGTCAGAGGGCCTAACTCCCAATAAATCAGAACCCTGGAGGACCTGCAGACCTGGTATTTATCATGGAGAATGCCATCAGCAGGTTTGCAGCTGCCTGCTGATAATGCAAGGGAACACCAAGCCCATCCTTCTGCCACGTGGAAGATAAAGCACATTCAAGTGCATAAGTCTCTGTCCCCAGGATGGAGAGGCAGTGACAGCAAAACAATGCCTCTAAAGGGAACCATGCTTTTAAGAGTAACATCCTCAACATCACATAGTATAGGGAAAAGTTTACTTGCCTGTCACAAAGTTTACTTGCCTGAATTTCCAAACCTCCCCGGATGTGAATGTCTTACAGTGTCACGCTGATATCCAGAGTTTAGGTCAAGGGACCCACTCAGAGCAAAACCCACTGGAAAAAACAGTAATGGACTTGAACTTGAAAAAAGCAGATAGCAGCTAGAACTCGATCCCAGACATGAGGACAGCCTTTAGACATGATTCTACTCATGATGGGGGGGATGGGAGGACAATACAGACCCTAACAGACTGAGGGTTCATGTCAGGAACCTTTGAATTCATAGAATGCCAGATATCAAGGGGGAGACTAAGGAAAAGCAAAAGGTGAAAAAGGGGGAGACTAAGAGAAAGAATGATGATGTAAGGAGGGCAGGGTCCCTAGTACCGCACTAAAACCTAAACCGAAAGCAGGGGGGAGTACCCTGACCATTAGGGAAAATTCTACTAAACCACAGGGTGCAGAGAGCTTCAGCGAGGATCTAAGATAGCCAGCCTCACTTGTTGGCAATAGTTAATTAAACATGTGTAAGGGTCCAACCACTGGAAACTTGCAGGAGTCGGGCCCTTTGAGAGAATTCTGGCTACCAGAGTCCAGAAAAACTGCCCCTCTTCAAGAAAGGTCACCAAAGCATTTCACAATGGGGATGCCAAGAAAAAGCACTAGGGCAGACATAAGGTTCAGTTCTGCCAACAATTACAATTGCCTTTGAAAGACACTGAAGGGTCAGGGAAGGGTCAGAGAGCAGTGGAATATGGTCTCAGAGGAATCAGCAGGTTCCGCTGGAAGAGGGAATACAGAGGATCAGCATTAGGATATATCCAGGAGGAAAGGGAAAACCCTTGTAGCACATAACTCCCAAGGGCAAGTTCCTACTAAGACAGGAACAGTGTGATTCCATAATGCAAGGAACCTGAGAAGGCCTGGTAAAAGGAGCCGCTATGTGTAGTGGCATAAGAAACATGCTTTGAGGCAGCTGAAATAGATGGCATCCCCAAGTAATTGGCCTGTGATCTAAACAGGTATCATAAGCATCCAAAGTCAAAGGGTTCCGCTACCCAAAGACCAATTGCTTGTGCAAACAGTCCCCCCACTGGGAGAATTGTGGGTGCACCTTTATGCCAAAAGCTTGACAGAGGTGTTAGTAGATCTCTTACTGAAATACTTTTAGCAAAACTATTGAAAATGTTTAAAACCTCTACTGTTCAGAAATGAGTTGAAAAAAAGAACTGTTAGAGGGATGCTACATAGCTATGCAAATTGAAGTGAATAAATATTGACCAGCCAGGATCTTTAAAGACCTAAGCACTGTGATAATTAACCACACATCACAGTCATGCAGACAGCAACAGCAACAAACTGCTGCTAATCTATTTTGACACGGCACATTGTAAAACAGAACACATCTGCCCACAAGAAGCTAACAGTACAGAAAGGCAAGGTACCGATATGCAAACAACAAATATCCGTTGGCTTCAAACAAACTACTGAAGTCATTCACATGATGCCACCATGAACATTCAGATGTTTGCCAAGTTCAACAGTCCCATATTCAAACAGAATTTAAATATACTGTTAGTTCTAGTCTTCACCAACAAAAATGAAATCATTGGTGCAGATTAATTTCCTTTCTTAAAAAGACACTTACAGTTTTCTATAATGAATTTCTCAAATGTTTGGGTTTAAAAAAATGCCTGCATACACAATGCTTCGTTCCTGAGTTTTCAGTGGCATGTTATTGAACATGCATGACTGGTAGTTAGAATCATGCTATGGTGATTCCTGTAGCTTTTCTGTTTAAATAGGGGCTCCAGATCACCCATGGCAACCAACACATTTGAAAAATTAATGGTGCTAGAAGTAAAGAATTGTACAAAAAAAGACATAAAAATGTAATTCAATATTGAGCCAAAGGTCTGTTACAACCGCCTGCAAATCATACACATTCTGAAACCAAAAAGTCAAGGGTTCTGTGCATCTTCTGATTGTCATCTAATGTATAGAGGTACTTCAAAAAGTGGGAAAAACAAAAAGTACAGAGACACTGTTAATTAATCCTTTATTTAAAAAAAAAAAGCATAATGCAGTCACCTATTCCAACAGGCACACTATCCCTATTACTCCCTCTACAGGGAACCATCCCAAGCTAATATTGATGCAGGAGCCAGTATGGCCACATATACTCATCCTCTTATGCAGCAAGAGTGCCCTGTTTGAACAACGCATGAGAGTGTACAATGACTTCAGCTCCTTTCGCTAGAACAGAAGCCTCATGATGGGGTGATATTAGAAGCAATATCTGCATTGGAAACAAGCTGTTATATGTAAGGTGTTCATACAGAATGTACTCTCTGTCCTGTGGGCAAAGGTCCACTGGGTAAATGACAGCTTTTATATGCAATTTCTATTTCACTGTGACCAACTAATCACACTGGTACAAAGTTGTATATCAGTGGCACACCACAATATAGCCATTGTAGTTATTTTGGGGCTTATTACCAGATTGCCGTGTCCAACAGTCATCTTCTATTCAAATGATACAAGTTTTCTTCAAAATAAATTGTTTCAGCTGCTCATGCTCCATGGCAGTGTTATAGTTTGTCCCAGCCCTTTTCACCATCACTTCCACTGGACGGCCAGAGAGTCAACATGACAAGCACGTAAACA